TATTGGTACCCTTTCATTTGTCCTTGTTTTATTAACTAACCTATCTATTTTACATACTACAAGAAGCACACGTGGACCCTTTCTTCTAAATATATATATTTTCTCTCTACATTTTTCTCTGTGTTTTACTAACCTTTAAATTTTTGATTTGTTTCAAATTGCTTTTTTTATATTTCAGAATATAAATGAAATTAAATGAAAATAGGGTAAAAGCTTTTATATAAATGGCAATAGTTTTTTTTTCCTTATTGGTGATATTTTGGGGACTCGTAAAAATTTCTGTAAATCCTTTTTATGTAAGGAAGTATATGACAATTTCTTTTGCTAGGAGGAGCACAAATTTTCTCATGTTCAAAGTTGTTTTCTGTTAAACAGATGCCTACAGACAACTGCATTTTTTATTTTTGTTACTTTATTGATCATCCATATAACTTTATATTATGTTACTTATCTTCTATTGATGAACTAAAACCAGTGTTTCTAGTTTTATATTGGTAAGAAATTAATTTTTATTTCCTAAGAATTAATTTAATGATTAGAAGATATTCTTTTTTGGGTGGGGGGTTCCCCCAATCCATTCTTCTCAGACTTGAACTTTTTAAACTATAGATATTCTTCAGGATTTCTTTCTTTCTCTTTTCTCTCTCTCAGTAATTTTCAAATGGGATTCTTAAAATCTTTTTTCTTGCTTTCTTCGGTGTACATGAAAATATTTACCATATTTAAGGGTCTGTGAAAAATCTTCATGTCAACTTCTGCATGCTTTGATGAGCTATTATTTCTGGAAATTTGTTGAATAAGAATTTTTTTAAATATTATTTCCTGAGATTAAAATGAATGAATATTTGATCTGATAGCTGAAGATATAAAAATGTCAAACCTCATATATATATATATATATATATATATATATATATATATTTATTTATTTATTTTTAATTTTTTTTTTTTTTTCAAGGACTAAATCTTGTGCCACTGAAAAACAATTAAAACTTTCATTATTAAAATGTTTTTGTATTATTTAAATTGATTTCAACAAATGGCAGGCAATATCAGTTTGTATCTGGTTTTTGTTTGTTGTATTTTTAAGATATTCTTCAATGCAATTTTCTGAACTTGTTCAATTTTTTTTTCTTCATGAATTTTTAAATATAAAATTCTAATTTTTCACACATATTCACAATTTTTAAAACCTGAAAAATAAACATATCAGATTCATTTTTGAATGTTATGATTTGGAAAGAACAAAGGAACATTTGAATTAAGAAAAATAGTTTTAATTTGTTTCTTTTAACTGTACTTTTTAACTGATTAAAGTTTTGAACGAGTTAATGATATTGGATACTGTACCACTTTGGGCAAATGATGTCAAGAACAAAGTTATTCAGATTTTTACTTCTGAACAAGTCAAGGAGAAATTTTTTTAAAATGTAAACATTTAAATTTTCAAGCACAGTGTATGTAAATTTTAAACAAAGTCCATCTTGTTCAACTTTTTGTAATGTTTTTATTTTGTTTTTAATTCTATAATTTATTAATAGTAATTTTATGAGGAAAGGAATCTTTGTAAGAGGATGAGGATGACCCTCCACCTCAAAAGGAAAGTTGGAATGGCCAGTGATTTAAATGTTATGAGGTCTTATTTTGGAATGTGAAACCAGGAGAAAAGTAAAGGAAAATTATCAATTAAATCTGCTTGTGAATTGGGATAAATTGCAAATAAGGTCCAAAATAGTGTTATCAGAAAAATTCTTAATACAGGGTTCAAAATTTCAGCTAACCATGTATCAGTTCGATTTTGCAAAGAACCAATCTCCATAAGATAGTTCATAAAGGTAGATCCTCCTTATAGGCCTTAGGTAAGCCATACATTCTTGGTTGCTGTGAACTTACAGGCCTGATGTTGTTATAAATTTCCTTTGTAAGGATTCCAATCTTTGAATTTTCTAACAGTTTCTTCTGATCTTCCTTAACCTTATGAGAAGTTTGATCAAATTGCTCACTAGATCCAATTTTCTGGAATTTGGTAGTGTTACTCAAAGTATCATTAATTTTGTTGACTTAGTCACTTGTTTCCAAAATCATAATGCCAGCTTCAAACTTAGTGATAACAATATCTTTATTATTGTGTAATGACTTCATAGCTTGAAAATGTTCCCACCGCATATTGAAATCCAAGTAATTAATGAGAAAAGCACTATAAGCATGGTGGCAGGATTGAAAGAATCGGCTAAATGAGATTAAATAAAGAATATTCATCAGCAAAAAATGATTTCTGAGGCTCTAACACTGCTGAGAATAACACCCCATGCTCTATATTTCATGAAGATTTGCAAACATCAAGACCATGTGATAAAACAAATAACTCCTTTTCATTTATAGTTTTGATTTCTGAATTTAATAGAAAACCATACAATTTACATGTAAGAAAAACAAATGTTCCTCGAATGTTTGCATCTTGCCAATTCATTTGCATTTCAGTAAAGGAAATATAATAACAAAGGTGAATCATATCAACGAAATGAAAAATTTTATTTGAGTCCAGTTATATGTGTAGGAATACCTAAGTGTAGTTGCTTGAATTTTGTTAATTGCTCTTGTACAATTACACACACACACACACACACACAAAGTGCTGTATTTAAGATTGTTTACAACAGATTTGTTTATGATACCTTACACAAAGGCCCTTTGCTTTGTCCACCCATTCAAGACCTAATTTTTATTGAATTAATGGAGTTTGATACTTGTTCTGTGGACTTTAGTTTTAATAACGTTATGTATGAACAAATTGAGAGTAAAGCTATAGGTAGGCCTCTTGGATCATCTTTAGGTTTTCATGAGAAATGTTCATTTCAGCAAATCGGCAAACCTTCCATTTATTTCTGTTATGTTCATTTGGTGAAACTAGAGTTTTCCTAACAATTCACTTCTTTAAATCCACCTCTTTCTTATACTGTGGAAGCTTGATGGTTCTCTACCCTTTTTATGGACATGTTAATAGAGGCCAATTATGGTTTGTTACCAGTGTTTACTAGAAACCTATTTCTTCTGGACAATACTTGTATTGGGACTTTTTAGTCCGAAACAAAAGAAAATTAATCTCATCAGCACTTAGATCCATTGTACCTTAATAAATTGTTTTCTATGTAAACTTTCTTCTGAATTTGATTTCATCAGGCTACTCTTCTGATGTGATAAAATTTATCAGAAAATTTTTTTTTTTCTCACTGATAAGAAGTTTGCACATCCTAAATGCTAAGTTATTTAAAATTACTTTTGGTTGTACAATGTCAACCTTTGATTTACTCAACAAATCACTAAGTCTGTCACACATTGCTTTCTTGTAGTGAATTTTCACCTAGAGTTTGACACTAGGAAGGTTTTATTTCTTCCATCATCAAGGATTGTGTACCTTTCTCCTAAAATGTTCAATCATTAAGTGTCAGTGGGAATCTGATTACACTGGACATTCCTTACAAAGGTTGAAATCTAGGATTAAGCAACATGTCTCATTTTGCATTACAAACAGCCAATTGTTTCCAAGCAACAATGTTGATGCATTTACAGAGTATTTCCCATACAACAGATTTAATATTGTAAGTGTGGCACATTTTGGAATCTCTTTTTATTTCTAGACATTTATCATCTTTGTGCAAGAAGAACCTTCTTTTCTCCTTCAAGTTACCCAGCATAGCCTAAGTTTTGCCTACTATTAGTCTCTTAATTTTAAACTTCTCAACAATCCTCTTTGATAAGCTTTAATTGAAAAGCTGCAAGTCATTTAGTAAATTCAAACAAAATATGCTGCAATTTTATTTTGATTTTCATTCAAATCTACAAGCACAAAGCATGCTTCCACTTACTAGCAATCCAAGTAAAAATCAGTAATCAAGATTTCGACCAAAAGCAAAATATCACAATTGCTGCTGATGACCAAGAAGACTTGAACTAACAGCCTAAAAATTGGTCACAGATTGAAATGATTTTACATTTAGACATCAATTTATAATAAAGGTTTCTGAATTCTTTAAATACATTCTTGATTTAATAAATTTATTTCTTTTTTAATTTGCATTCTTTGAGTCATAGTAAATTTATGCTTGGAATCATACAATATATCTCCTTTCCTTACAAAATTACTATTCATACAACAAAACAATAAAAATAAGTTATTACTTATTTTTATTGTTTTTATTTTTGAATGAATGAGAATGTTTAAAATTTCAATACTTATGCCATCAAAATGTAAATCTAAATGTTACACGTCTCTCTACCTTTAATGTTTTTATGTAAACTGTAGCTAGAATTTATTATTTCTCTCTCGCCTCTATATAGGATTGATTCCATCACAAAACCATTATTTGTCTAAAAATGTTCTTTTCTGAATAAAATATGTTGATAGTTTTCCAATCTATCTTTTTTTTTTTTTTTTTTTTTTACCTGCTATGATTTTGATATATATGTGTTTCTAGACTATCACTGAACATGAAACTTGTGTTGAAATAATAAATATTGATATAAATAAATTGATATAAATAAATCTTCTAGTATCATTTAATTTAATTGAAGTGGTTCAGAATGAAATTTCATATTTGTAATTAAATGAATTTTGGCAATTTGGTATGTTATGTAGTATATTTTCCTTTCTAAAGTTTAACTTTCTAAAATACACATGTTACATGATTACCAAAAGATACCAGAGGTGGAAATGCTTTGGTTTCCAAAAATTTCAGAAAGAGTTTGATAAAATATCTATATGTAAGTGGACAGGAAGTTACATTGCTTTAACCATGTGAAAAAACTTCTTCAATGTCAATTCATTTAAGATATTTGCAAATACTTACGATCTTCAAAGGAAAAGTTCAATTGCTACCATTTGTAGATGATAATTAGAAATAATTGTCACTTTTTTATATATATTTTTTTCCAGAAAGACATTTTTTTGAACATCATTGTTGACCATTTCTTTGTTTTATTTATTTTTTCTTTTATTGCAGGTTTGATGAAAGAGGAGAATCCATACAGGAGATTTGATGCATAAATACTGTGTTATCATTTAAACAAACTTCAAATTTTTATTCTGATATATTTTCTTTTTCTTTTTTCCTTTTGCTCTTAAATAAGCTGACTTTTATAACTAATACAAAAGAACAAAACTGCTTTATAGCCAACACAAAAAAAAAATTGAAATCTAGTTTTCTAAAATATCTTAAAATGATTATACTTTCATGTTGTATTCATTTATAAGAAAACTGTTTTATTATTAGAGATTGAAATGTGTACTAAACAAGAATTGAATATTTTTCTTTAAAAAATTGTTCTCTAGCTATTATGTTTGAAACCTACTAAAAATGACAAAACTAACAAAGTCTAATTTTTCAATTTGTATATTACTCAGATGTTTCAGAAAATAAAAATGACAAGTATATAAAACAATACTTTTTAAATAAGTTTTCTCCTAAAATATAGTTTTTTTTTTTTTTTTTTTTTTTTTTTTTTTTTTAATTACAGATTATTTGCTATTTTATTTTTTTTTTTTACATTTGTTTTCTAAAACACGGTTTATATGTATTCTGTTATGATTTTTGTCAAGTTCATGATTAAAGTGTTATACATTCCAACATATCAGCATTTGTAGAGGAGATGAATACATAGAACAAATTGTGCTCAATAAAGATGTTAGCATAAATTTTTCACCTGCATTACATTATATATAGTTGCTTTCATTCGTGAATCAGGCACAAAAAACAAATGATTTTAGATTCCTACCTTTCCTATAGAGGTACTTCTTTTTTTTTTTTTTTTTTTTTTTCCCATTGTGATTAGATGAAAATTAATGGCTGTTTGTGAAAAAGATGAAAAATAAGTTTTGAATTTCTTACCTGCTCTTTGTATTATTGCTGGGATTTTATTTTATTTATTTTTTTAAAATAAAATATTTTCACTTGTTTGTGGTTTTCTTTTCACTTTCTGTTTTTTTTTTTATATTCTCTCTCACTATAAGTAAAAGAATATAATCATTTATTACTTTTTGAAATATTTTATCTTAGTTTCTCTTATATTGTAAGAAAATAATTTGAAAGTTTGAATGAGAAATGTCTGAAAAGAATGATCTTTGATTGTTAAGGAAAGCTATCTTTTACCAAATATTCTTATTTAGACAAATGCCACTCGTGATAATGCAGTTATAAACATATCACAGCCATTGAGGAATAATTAAATATGATGATTGTTTTCACATACATTGTGTAAAATGTGGCCTAAAATTGACCACATTGTCTGTTTCAAGATAAATAAGTTACTGCACTTAGAATAATGCAAATTAACTTTATATTTGAATATTATATAACAAGTCTCTATAAAATATGCCTACCACTAGATTACTAGTTAGCATTTAGTTGTAAGGTTTTATAACTGATTAGTATGTGCATTGATTTAAAGGTAGTATTTTTATTTTAAGTTAAATATCTAAAATTTAAACATTGAATTAGTCTACATTTTTATGATCAATTCAAATAGAAATTTTAGCAATATATTTTAAACTGCAAACATGAAATTCTTAGGAATTTTGTGACTTTATCCTGCTATAGTTTTAACTTGGTCTTTAAATTTACACACATGCTCAGTGATTTAATCAGTATGATTGCTAAAATGTGATCATTAATATTTCAAACAAAAATTTTCACTCTTGATGAAAATAATTCAAGGTCAGTTAACTACCTTAAAAGCAAACCGATATCTGTTGCATTACAATTCCATCCCAGTAGTAAACTGCCTTTTCTTGATATTTAGTACAAGTCTTGCTGCAAAAGATGTTAAGCACTTTTAAGTAAGTTTTACAGATTTGTGCAAGAACAAGTAAATCAAAATAAGTGTCTTCATCATAAAGAATGCAAATATAAAAGAATGAGAAAATTTAAGAGGATGGAAGTACACTGATGGTGTCTTTCTCTTTTTTTGTCTACCAATCAATAAAGACTCGCTTTTAATGAATTGACCACTGCAAAAGGTTATTAAAGCAATTATTAAGTAACAGATCATTATCAAAAGGAATCACAGCAAGTCCAAGAGAAATGACAGGAAGCTTTCATGGTTTTTACTATCCATAAATTAGCAATCATTGTTAGCATGGGTAGAATCTTTTTATGAAGGCTCAGTAAAATAAAGTGGTGCTCAACTTCTATGGACATGCATGTGCTTCCTAATGTCTGCAGCTGTTTTGCAAAATTTAGACAGATGGAAAATGTGGTTAACCCATTTCACTCAAGATCAATTGCCACATGTTTCTGCAAATGGACAGCAAGGCCTGATTTTCTCTGCACAACAAAGCCACAGTGGCAATTAAGACTATCATTGAGAGGAGCCGCATGCTGCCAACTTACTTTAATATTTACATGCAGTTGATCCCAATGTTCAAGTTGGCCTTGCTCAAACCTTTATATAGATGAGAAGCCAGACAGGTATGCATATGTCTACAATGTGACAAAATCTGAACGATGCCAGTCTTCATGACAGAAAGCCACTGCTTACAAAAAAGCACAAGCTCAGTTCAACTGTGCCAAAACTCATGTTAAGATAGAAACGGTCTGGAAAAAGGTCAGATGAGACTAATCTAGAGCTCTGTGGGAGGAATGATAGGTGGTATGTGTGACAATCTCCTATGGCTTTTGAAGATAATTTGGTGCCAACGGTAAAACATGTCCGAGACAACATTATGATTTGCTGCAGCTGGAACAAGCAAAATAGTATGCATTAATGGCACAATGGACTGGCAAGATATCAAGCAATTTTGAATGAGAGTGTCTTGGCCCCATTTTTTAAAGTTGGGTTTAGGCCAGGACTGGATCTTCCAACAGAACAATTTGCATCAAAGCAAATCCACAAAAGAAGGGGTTTAAAAAAGAAATTTCAAATTTTGGAATAGCCTCGTCAAAATCCTGATCTAATCCCAATTGAAAATCTGTGGTTCATGTTAAAAAAAGCATGCACTGCTTTCTAGAAACCCAGATAATATTGAACAATTGTGGAAGTTTTACCAAGAACAATAGTAAAAAGTTGATACACATTACTGCAAGAAACTTCTTAAAAGTTATAGAAAAAGAATATGTAAATATATTTGTGTGGTTATATCAATATATGTGTGTATACATTATATATATATATATATATATACACACAAAATATCAAAAATACTTTTACAAAGTTTGGGGATGGGTTCCTCACACCAAAATAAGGACAAAAATCTATCTTCGTTTTTGAGTTATTTAGAAAGTTTACGTTGGATGGTGCTGTGTTGCCATGTAGGCTAGGTTACATTTTTCATTCGTGTACATCTGTGACTAGTCTGTCTTTAAAATGTGTAGTAGTGAGTTAATGGAGAATTGTTCCATTTAACAATGGCAGGATATTTATATCATGATTTTTGCATACAGCCGCGCGAATGGTAATGGATGCGAGGCTGCATAGCTGTATCAGATTGCGTTTCCAGATTGAAGGCAGCCATGTCATCCAACCTTTGCTGCTGTTTATCGTTGCATTGTTGTGACTGGATCTGTGGCACCACAAACTATGGGTTGAAGGTAATCACGAAAAACATTCTACAGGCTGTCGGAGACCATCCAGGTATCAGCACACGTCAAGTGGCCCTACTATGTCGTACATCTCAAAGTACTGCCTGGAGGCTACTTCAAAAGCAGCTCCTGTATCTATATCATTTGCAATGTGTGCAGCATTGTTAGTTGTTGTAATAAGTTTATTCATTGTAATAAGTTTATTCATTAAGTTGGGAGGTGGTGCTTATGGTTAACTTTTTAAATTTATTGTGATCGTTCAAAATGGCCTGTAATTGTGATTTGTACTCATGTTTGTTTAAAATAACGAAAGTATTAGTCTTATCAGCTCGTCGGGTAACAATACTGCTGTTATTTTTTAGTTGTGTGGCTGCTTTTATTAAAGGGGTGTTTATAATTCGATTTGGATTTTTATGATAACGGTGTTTAATAGATTCGGCTTTAAGTAATTCTTTTGTTGATATAACGCTTCAATATGCATTTGTTTAAACATTAAATTAGGTTTCTGTGCGAGATGAAAATTTGGTCCAAGATTAAGGAATTCCACTTCATTTGGAGTGAGTTGATAATCTGATAGGTTAATGAAGTTGTTGATGTTTGGTAAAAGTATTTTTTCTTTATATAATTTGTTTAGCTTTTTTTGTGTTTTTTTTTTTGGGGGGGGGATGACTTTTTTATAGGATTTATTTTCCTTTTATGTTGTATTATATAATAAATCCAATATTTCCTTGAATTTTTCAATTGTGGTAGAAGATTGTAAGATTTCTTTAATACGTGCAATTTTAGCGTTGAGCCATTGTGATTGCTGTTTGGCTGTATTTATTAGTCGTTTGATAAGATTCCATTGAAATTTCTTGGTGTTGGGATCGTTTAATGCTGCGGCATCATGTAACTAGAATTTAGTGTATTGGGGCAGATCATTATTTAAAAATATATTGTTAAGTATAACTGACAATAAATGTCTATTATGTCTGATAATGAACTGTTCTAAACTTCGTAGGTTTGCTTTAATTTCTGGTGAAAATAAAGACAAAAATTGTCCAACATTTGGATATTTTTTATTAAGCTGGTCATTGATCTAAGCTTTCGGCTCACATGAGTGGTTATACGGATATTCACCACCAAAGATCATACTCTATATATATATATATATATATATATATATATAAAGAATTTGACCCAAGCAACGCGGAATGCTACTAGCACGCAAGGGGTTACAGCGAGTGGGAGCAAGAGGATAGAGGAAAGGATAAAGAGAAGGACAGGGAATAGATCAAGGTATCTGAAGATGTGGATTGACATTACATTTGAATAGTTGGAGATTATAGCTATCAGGGAAACTGGAATAGGGAATGGAGTTCCACCGGTGACATGAAACTATTGGAGTAGAAGAGACGACCACATTTAACTGTTTGTATAGTGAAAGGGTGGGTCCGAGATGCCAGTATAGCTGCACGTTTAAATTCATGCA